ATTAAAGATCATAATCGCACTCGAATAAAACAAAAATATGGAGAGAGAATAGAATTCTGAACCAGCTTGCATTCTGATCGTACTTATTTGGGTTGTGGTTACTAAGACTATAGGCTAATAGATTATTATAACAATATTCATCATCATTAAATTCATCACCAATATCATGTCCATATATCTTGGCCTTACGCCCAACTAGGCCTACACATAGGCTACACATGCCGCGTTCAAAACAACTGGGAACTCGGAACTCGGATATCTTCGACTTCCGACTTCAGTGCGTTCCAGACAACTGGGAACTCGGAAAAAACGAGCTCCGACTGTGAAAATCGTTTTGAACGGCCATTCAACTCAGAATTGACCTGAAGATAACTGACGTCATGATTTAACCTAGTTTTTTTCAGAGTTCCCAGTTGTCGTGAAAGCGCCAAGACACACACACAGACACCCATTTACATTGCATTAATACAAGTGCATTATGACAGACCAGGGGTCTTTGAAAATGCTCGTCACTGGCCGATACTCCCCTCTATATTTCCCCACAAGAAAAGGAAAGGCCTTACCCATCGCCTGTGTTTGAGGTCTCTAGATGCAGATACTCATGTCAGATATGTATCCGTTCTGTTCGTCGGTCACGTGTTGAAAAAAGCAATCTATGCCATTCCAATTCCGTTACCGGAGCCTCAGTTATCAGCCTGGGTGCGCAGATCAGACATAGAACCGGGCAGGGGTCTCCCGTAATTCCCCCGTTACATATGTATCTTATCAAACAGCTGCATAGTTTCTCGACGCTGCAGCGGTGTTTTGCATCAGGGAGAGAGTGTAGGCTAGTATCCTACGGTTTCTCCCGGTGTCTCGCGACGAAGGGGGCTGCCTGCTAGGCTGCAGTGCAGTGCCTAGGATCGCTGAACGACCACGAATCCTGTGTTTCCGTAGGTCCGTCTCTGTTTGTTCGATTCGATGTCAGCCAGCAGGTTCAATCTCCCGTTATCCCGGGAAGCGCGCGCCGCATTCGAATACTAGCCACTAATCGATCTCTACGGTTGCTCTGTATCTAATGGGAGCATCCGAGAAGGTAAAAATACGATTTCGGTGGTGGTGGTGCTGCTGCTGCGCGTGAGGCACGTTCCTCTCGGGCGGGTGATCTGACAAATGGTGCAGAATAAGATATATCCATCCCGATCCCGGTTGGCTCGAATCGAGGTGATGAGGAAAACAGGACGCGCGCTGTTGTATTACCCGGTTTTACACAGATTTTGACGTTTTTATGACTCGTCGCTAGCGCTTTCTCCTTTCACTGTTCCGTTATCTGTAAAGCAGCCCCTCTTCCTTCTCTCTCTCTTGTGAGCCACGGCCAACAACAGCGCTCGAGCTGCACAGAATATGACGCCTTTCCGCTCATATGAAAAGGATAAGCAGCAAACCCCTCTTTCTTTCCCCCTCCTTACTTTTCATTTCTCTCTCTCTCTCTCTCTCTCTCTCTGGTGTGTGAAATTGGTAGCGGGGGAGAAAAGCGGGGGGGGGGGGGGGGGCGCGCTCGAGACAGCAGCTCCTCCCCGTGCTTGGGTTTGCTTATCGCAGGAGCGAGCGGGTGAAAGAGAAAGAAAGAAAAGGGGGAAAAAAGAGCGACAATGGACGCTTATTACCCTTGTTTATGTCCCTGTTGTTTATTGTATGTTTAGCTTGCTTTGGCAATGTAAACATATGTATCCCATGCCAATAAAGCCCTTTGAATTGAGTAGACGAGAAGGTGTAGGTATTGAAAATGTGTCACTGCCACATTCGTCATACGATGTTTTGACGCAAATAAGGCCAACACTCTCTCTGCGCCAATGTAGCGGACAACCTTGCAGGCTTCCGTATAAAATATGGTACCGTTACAATGTAAACACACATCTCGTTTCAGTGACCCCCTCCCCCATGTAGCAAGGAACGCCCTCTCGTAGTATCCACCCTATCCGTTTTAATACACTAGGCCTACAATAGAATGGTGGAATTGTCTGTGCAGTCAGCCTGTTTTGAGGATTGGTTTTATGTCTGGGTTTTAACTATGCATACATTCATGTCTTGAATTAATCACGGCACTGCACATTAGGCCTACTAGCCGAGGACCGAGGTAGGACATTGGAAAGTAATAGCCTATTTTGCTGTACAAAGAGAAAAAGAGAGAGACGGGAGCTTGTTTCCCTTGAGATGGGTCTGAATCTCAAACTGAATTCAAGGGGGGAGGGGGTTACAGAAACATGCGAAGGAAAGAGAGCTCTCTCTGTGGAACGAGGACACACATTACTCACACTTTTACCGCCCCAGAACTAAAGCTAAAGACAACCAAGATATTTCTGAAAAAATTAAAACGCTCCTTTCTACATCTTTAGACTATGTTGATAGAAAGATATACATTGTGATTCCTTTGTTTGGGATGTTTACAGCCCCGTGTAGCTCAGTTGGTAGAGCATGGCGCTTGCAACGCCAGGGCTGTGGGTTCGTTTCCCACGGGGGGCCAGTATGAAAAATGTATGCACTCTAACTGTAAGTCGCTCTGGATAAGAGCGTCTGCTAAATGACTAAAATGTAAATGTAATAAACAGGCTGACTGATCAATCAACTCCCCCTTTTTACCTCTAAACTACGACGGTAGATCGATAGACATTGAAATTGCTTTTATTGTAAGCAATAAATTTCGATCGATTAAATACTTATTCATAGAGCTAATCAATAATCCATAAAGCAATCTCAACCCTGCACCTGACACTATATGCCCTACCTTCATGAATAATTAATTCAAAACGTCTGTTTAAGATTTAAGACAAATATATATATTTTTTGATCCAAAGATATTCCCAAGAGTAACTGACATTGAATGTTCCATTCCTCAACTCGTTTTCATCATAACATTGTAATTACTGTTCAAAGGTTGCGTTCCAAATGGCACCCGATTCCCTTTATATGTACTTCTGACCAGATGGCATCCTATTACCTTTATACCCGATTCCCTTTATAGTGCACTTCCTTTGGTCAAAAGTACTGCACTATATAGGGAATAGGGTGCTATTTGGGACATACATACATATGCCGTAAGCTACTTATTTAAAAAGGGGTTGACAAAGAAGAGTTGTGTGTAAAGTGTGAGAACTTCCTAAATCTGACACTGAGCGGGGCTGTAGCTCAAGGCACAGACGTCTGTTTACTTGCTTGTTGAAAGGTAGTCTGCTGAATCAAGAATTATACCTCTTTTCAATCTTTCTTTCCTTCCTTCCTTCATTCTTTATTTCCCTCTAAAAGACAACAGCCTGTCTATCTTTTCTCCCTGTTCTCTCTTTCTCCGAGGTACAGTCACTTAGTTTACTCAGTCAGTCACTTAGTTCACTCAGTCAGTCACTTAGTTCACTCAGTCAGTCACTTAGTTCACTCAGTCAGTCACTTAGTTTACTCAGTCAGTCACTCAGTCACTCACTTAGTTCACTCAGTCACTCACTCAGTTCACTCAGTTCACTCAGTCACTCACTTAGTTCACTCAGTCACTCACTTAGTTCACTCAGTCACTCAGTCCACTCAGTTCACTCAGTCAGATTGGGCCCAATGAAATCAATGTAATACAAAACCTTTCATTTTACATTTACATTTTAGTCATTTAGCAGACGCTCTTATCCAGAGCGACTTACAGTTAGTGAATACATATATATATATTTTTTTTATACTGGCCCCTCGTGGGATTTCTATACCTTGATCACCTACTTGGCTTTTAAAAGTATGGGAATGTATGCACTCCTACTGTAAGTGGCTCTGGATAAGAGCGTCTGCTAAATGACTAAAATGTCAATGTAAAAGAGGCAGTAGTTGAAGGTTGAAGAGCGTCTGCTAAATGACTAAAACGTAAATGTAAACAAGAGACGGTAGTAGAAGGATTTGGAAGTCAAAACGACATCGCAGAAGTCACACTTATTTCTATCATTTACTTTCACAATGCACCCTTTCTCCAAGGAGACAAAACATACAGAACATGTATAAAGCATACATCAACATATATAAAGCTTCAGGGTCAATTGAATTTCAATTCAGGAAGGGAAAATAGATACGTAGTCAGTTGTACAACTGAATGCATTCAACTGAAATGTGTCTTGTGTATTTATTGAATCCAAGCCCTCTGAATCAGAGAGGTGAGGGTGCTGCCGTAATCAACGTCCACATCGATTAAGTACACTGACATTTCAATTCCAAATCTCTTCAATGCTTTTCAATGAGGGAACTTTGGAATTTGTTCACTTTCTGAAATTGAAATGGTAGTGACCCTAACCCTGACATATACATAAAATATAACCATACATAAAATAAACATACATTAGATGTACATGATTTCATGACTATAAAAAAAAAATCAAATAAAAATCACCTCAACTGCCCATCTCTCCTCCAATGAGCAACTCTCCAGACCAAATATGGATAGAGGAGAGAACGAGAGAGGGAAGAGGCAAGTAGAGAGAAAGGGGGTGGTGTGGAAAGAGAGAGAAAGGGGGGTTGGGTGGAAAGAGAGAGAGAAAGAGAGAGGGGGAAAGAGATCAAAGGAGAGGTACAGTAACAAGAGCAGCTGAGATGAGTCCCTTCACTTGTCAGCTAATTATGTAATGTGTCATCCGCACTTAACCCCACCTCCTCCTTCCCACCGCCCTCCCTTGTTCACAGACAGACTGATAGAGAGCAGGTGACAGGAGCTACAAACGCCAGCCAACATACACTCACTGACTGTCTGTTGGGAGTCAATTCAGTCCATTCAGGTAGATCTGGGGCCGTATCAAGCATCTCAGATTAAGCACACTGATCTAGGATCAGGTCACCCCTGTCCATATAATCGTATTCATTGTTATCTAAAGCAAAACGGATCCTCAAACAGCCCTCCTACCTGCATAACTGTTGTCCACCTGACCCATCAATAACATTACCTTCATGGCATGTAACAAACATGTTATCAGTTATAGTAAAAGGAATAGTTGTGATAAAGTTTTAAAAAAAATATATATACTTTTCTACCCAAGGATGCCATATCAGTTGCACCGCCAAAATCCATCACACATCCCCTCCAATACATTCCTATAACTCCCTCCCTCAAAAGAGCAGTTATCACTCTATTAACACCAAACCTTGTCCCCACAAAAATCCATTCCTCCCATCCGCCTCCATCACTGAGGCCCCAGCCCGGCCGAGGACCCCTGTGTCCCCAGGTCCGAGCCCCACAGCCGGTAGAACTGAGTGAAGTCAACATAGGGTGGGACCCGTCCTGTCTCGTCTGGCTGGACAGCCTGGCTGCCACGCTGTCTGGAGAGAGTACAATACAATGGATATGTTAGTGAATATAATCTTCCTAGAAACAGAATAGATACCATCCCGCCCGGGACTTGAACCGGCAACCTTTCGGTTACCGGTCCCCTTCTCTAACCCCACCGAGCTACCTACCTGAAGAGGCTGCCTCCGTCTCCTGAAGAAGAGCTGGAGCTCTGGGTAGTCTGGGTATTGATGGAGGACTGGAGCGTGGTGGTGGGACTCTGGCTGCGGGGTGGGATAGGGGGCGGGAGGGGGGCGAGAGGGCGAGGGGGGAGAGGGGGAAGAGAGGGAAGAGGGGAGAGACAGAGCTCATTTATAGACTGGAGGATGTCAAGGGAGGAACGGCGGACGACGCTGGGTAGAGGGAGAGTGCTACAGGTGACAAAGGAGGTGAAGAGAAAGAGATGGAGGGAGGGAAAGGTGAGTAGAAGAAACAGGGGAAATAATAGATGGAGGATGGGAAAGCGAGGGAGTATTAGGAGGAGATTCAGAGAAGGAAAAGAAAGAAGGAAGGAGAGAAAAGAATGGTAGGAGGAATGAAGCAATCAACGATTCAGAACAGGGGCATGCACACGTCTCTAACCACAACATAACGTCAAAATCAAAGGAAATAAAGTAACTATGGAAGAACGTGTTGGTCTTTGCTCAGTCCAACAACTACAGACTACGGTTGATCTGAAATGACCCTAAAAACCCCAAATGAAAATGTAAAATGAACTTAAAACTAAAACCATGCAACTGGCTTTGAAACCATCGTCTACACTTGTTGGAGTATGGCCAAGAACACAAGATCATCCATCCCTGCAAAAGTCGTCCAAATCAAGCCAGGGTGGAAATGTGGGTTAAGCTCGGTGCACACCGCGCATGTGTGTATGCATTCTGGCTGGGCGATATATCGTGAATACCAGTATAATGGTATGGATCCACATACCGGTATGGATTTTTACAATACCGTTTTTTACTATATACCATTAAAATCAATTTCATTTCATTTGTTGCCGTGCAAGGGTCATGCACTACTCATAAAACATATTTACAACTTTTATATTCAGAAACATAAACACCTTCAAAAATGACACAAATATTGTGATATGATGTGTTGACCATAACACCCAGCACTAGCATGCGTGTGTGAGAGCAAGCCTGCATGTGTATGCTATCTGTGCCCTCCTCCAGGGAAAAAGCTGTGTTAGTCCCGTTGGGGTGTGTGTGTGTGTGTATGTGTTATTAGCTCGGTGTGTGTGTGTGTATGTGTTATTAGCTTGGTGTGTGTGTGCGCTTTGGGTGAGTTGCTATGGATAAATCTGCTACACGGCATATATTATATATATTACCCAGGTGTGTGTGTGGGTGTTATTACCCAGGTGTGTGTGTGGGTGTTATTACCCAGGCGTGTGTGTGGGTGTGCCCTCCTCCAGAGTGGAGGCTGTGTTGGTCCCGTTGGTGAGGGTACCCCCCTGAGAAGGCATGACCAGGGAGAGGGTGACGCTGGTCTTACTGGTGCTGCTGGGGCAGTTGGAGTAGGGCACCGACACTGGGTAGATACGACCACCTAGTGGACAGAGGGGAGAGACAGCAGAGAGACAGAGTTAATCTAGTATTATAGTAGTAATATAGTGAAGCTGGGGCAGTTGGAGTAGGGCACCGACACTGGGTAGATACGACCACCTAGAAACATAGTAAAACACAAGTAAAATGGTTAATTCAATTAGCTGGAATTAGATGAAGAATTCAAGCTTTCCTGTTCATTTGGTATTGAGGTCTACCTGCAGACGACCAGAAATGCATCTTGAGACTGTTTGAATGTATGAGAATAATTATAAAGAATATGAACTGAGGTATAACTCAGTTAGACCCTCATCTGCAAGGCTCAAGCTCTACTGAAGGCTCTTGACTCTGTATCAGACGTCTAACTCACCATTGTGATCTCTACAGTGCTGTCAGGTGGACATCAGTAGCAACTCGCAGGCTCAAACACTGTTACATTCTTATTCAGAAGGCCATTTAAGGAAAACTGCCATTTTATCTATCCTCTATTCTAGCACGAAATGAGAAAACATACAAGCTCAGATCTCAATCTTGTTTTATGCTAACAGTCCCGAAAATTAGAACCAAGCATGGAAAAAGGTCCTTACATTACTCAGCCCCCTGATCTTGGAATTCCCTCCAAGCCAACCTAAAACTCCAGGACCTGGTGTCCCTGGAGGAGTTCAAAGGACAAATAGATGAACAGGTTGTAGCTGTTTCTAGTTGTAACCCCATGTCACTAGTTTGCATTTACTTATGTAAGGAAGCCTGTTGTTTTATAATAAATAATAATACTATGCCATTTAGCAGACGCTTTTATCCAAAGCGACTTACAGTCATACGTGCATAACATTTTTTTTGTGTATGGGTGGTCCCGGGGATCGAACCCACTACCTTGGCGTTCCAAGCGCCGTGCTCTACCAGCTGAGCTACAAACAAACATGCCTTCACACACAGTTTGTTTGCAGTTATATTTGTGCTGTTGCCAGTGTCTTCTGTCTGTGTTGTCTGTTTAGACTTACATTGTTTTTAGTTTTTATCCCAGCCCCCGTCCCCACAGGAGGCCTTTTGCCTCTTGCCAGGCCGTCTTTGTAAATAAGAATTTGTTCTTAATTGACTAACCTGGTTAAATAAAGGTCAAATAAATAAATGTTAAATAAATAAAGGTGAAATCAATAAAGGTGAAATCAATACAATTTGGCCTGATATAGTTGATCATGTTGAAGATGAGAGGGTTTCTTCTCTCTGTATGTGTGTGCCTCCTCCACCTACCCTGTGTGGGTGTGAGCGCGCCGTCGGCCAGCGTGTAGTTGAGTGTGCGTATCAGCAGAGTCATGTCTTCGTGGCGGGAGCAGTTGGACGCCCTCTGGCGTCCGCTGGCGTAGACATCGTGGTGCAGCCGCTTGACCCGCTCCACCACCGACTGGGCCACGGCCTCCAGGGTTCCCTGTTGGGCTAGTTCTGCTGCTACCATAGCTACCATCTCCTAGAAGAGGGGGAGGAGAGAGGGGAAAATGTTGCAATGTTTAATGTCATGGGGATATCAACTGAAATCAGGGGGGAGAGAGACGGTTGGAGGGAGGGAGGCAAAGGAGGAGAGGTAGACAGGGGTGGATGATGTTGGAGTTGGGAAGAGGGAGAGTAAGAGGTGGTGGTGAACTATGACGATTGGAAAGACTAGCACTGTCCTCCTTGGACCGAGGTCTTTATCAAAGAAGCTTGTTGTGAATGTATTGGTTAAGTGGTTCATTATATAAGTGAATGCACCCACCTGATTGGCTTGTTCTGGTCCGTGGGCGGACTCCAGGGCTTTGATGAGCCCCTCTGACATCAGCAACAGGAAGCCCGTCACGCCCTCTAACGATTGGCTGGCCTGGATCTCCGGCTCTGCTATGATTGGCTTGTTCTTGGCGGCACTGATGGTCGTGGGCAGGGCATGGAGGAAGAGGAAGGAATAAGACGGACAGATCGATAGAGGAGAGTGAGAGCGAGTGAAAGAGAGAGGAGAAAGGAAAGAAAGGAGAAAAGAGAGCGATGAGATAAGAGCAAGTGCAGCAAAACGTTGTTTCCAATCTACAATACAATCTAAAGTGGATCCTACAGCTATTGTATGCAGTAATCATGTGCCTATGAACAAGAGTTATACTGTTAGCACTGAGGCAGTGTGCCCTAGTAAGAAGTCCACTGTGTGCAGCTCACCCTGCACTAACATAAATAACATGAGCATGTCTACTTCTGCTAAGCTTTCCAGTAAAGCAATGAAAACAATCAAGCATCTCAGAAAAGTGCTAAAAATAGCCCACGTTAACATATGTAGCTTAAGAAATAAGGTTCATTAAATCATTTTTTTGCTAGTAACAGATGACATTCATATTCTGACAATCTCTGAAACTCACTTAGATAATACCTTTGATGATATAGTGGTCGCAACACATGGTTATAACATCTACAGAAAATACAGAAATGCCAAAGGTGGAGGTGTTGCTGTTTATATTCAGAACCACATTCCTGTAAAGCTTAGAGAGAATCTCATGTTAAATACTGTTGAAGTAATATGGCTACAGGTTCATCTGCCTCACCTAAAGCCCATTCTGGTGGGAAGCTGCTATAGACCACCAACAGTCAGTATCTGGATATGTGTGAAATGCTTGATAACGTATGTGATATCAACAGAGATGTACTCCCGAGTGGCGCAGTGGTCTAAGGCACTGCATCGCAGTGCTAGCTGTGCACGAGGACACTAGAGATCCTGGTTCGAATCCAGACCCATGGGTCGCGCACAATTGGCCCAGCGTCTTCCAGGGTAGGGTGGGGAATGGCCGGCAGGGATGTAGCTCAGTTGGTAGAGCATGGCGTTTGCAACGCCAGGGTTGTGGGTTCAATTCCCATGGGGGGCCAGTATGAAAAATAATGTATGCACTCACTAACTGTAAGTCGCTCTGGATAAGAGCGTCTGCTAAATGACTAAAAAATATATATATATACAGTGGGGAGAACAAGTATTTGATACACTGCCGATTTTGCAGGTTTTCCTACTTACAAAGCAAGTAGAGGTCTATAATTTTTTATCATAGGTACACTTCAACTGTGAGAGACGGAATCTAAAACAAAAATCCAGAAAATCACATTGTATGATTTTTAAGTAATTAATTTGCATTTTATTGCATGACATAAGTATTTGATCACCTACCAACCAGTAAGAATTCCGGCTCTCACAGACCTGTTAGTTTTTCTTTAAGAAGCCCTCCTGTTCTCCACTCATTACCTGTATTAACTGCACCTGTTTGAACTCATTACCTGTATAAAAGACCTGTCCACACACTCAATCAAACAGACTCCAACCTCTCCACAATGGCCAAGACCAGAGAGCTGTGTAAGGACATCAGGGATAAAATTGTAGACCTGCACAAGGCTGGGATGGGCTACAGGACAATAGGCAAGCAGCTTGGTGAGAAGGCAACAACTGTTGGCGCAATTATTAGAAAATGGAAGAAGTTCAAGATGACGGTCAATCCCCCTCGGTCTGGGACTCCATGCAAGATCTCACCTCGTGGGGCATCAATGATCATGTGGAAGGTGAGGGATCAGCCCAGAACTACACGGCAGGACCTGGTCAATGACCTGAAGAGAGCTGGGACCACAGTCTCAAAGAAAACCATTAGTAACACACTACGCCGTCATGGATTAAAATCCTGCAGCGCACGCAAGGTCCCCCTGCTCAAGCCAGCGCATGTCCAGCCCCGTCTGAAGTTTGCCAATGACCATCTGGATGATCCAGAGGAGGAATGGGAGAAGGTCATGTGATCTGATGAGACAAGAATAGAGCTATTTGGTCTAAACTCCACTCGCCGTGTTTGGAGGAAGAAGAAGGATGAGTACAACCCCAAGAACACCATCCCAACCGTGAAGCATGGACGTGGAAACATAATTTTTTGGGGATGCTTTTCTGCAAAGGGGACAGGACGACTGCACCGTAATGAGGGGAGGATGGATGGGGCCATGTATCGCGAGATCTTGGCCAACAACCTCCTTCCCTCAGTAAGAGCATTGAAGATGGGTCGTGGCTGGATCTTCCAGCATGACAACGACCCGAAACACACAGCCAGGGCAACTAAGGAGTGGCTCCGTGAGAAGCATCTCAAGGTCCTGGAGTGGCCTAGCCAGTCTCCAGACCTGAACCCAATAGAAAATCTTTGGAGGGAGCTGAAAGTCCGTATTGCCCAGCGACAGCCCCAAAACCTGAAGGATCTGGAGAAGGTGTGTATGGAGGAGTGGGCCAAAATCCCTGCTGTAGTGTGTGCAAACCTGGTCAAGACCTACAGGAAACGTATGTTCTCTGTAATTGCAAACAAAGGATTATGTACCAAATATTAAGTTCTGCTTTTCTGATGTATCAAATACTTATGTCATGCAATAAAATGCAAATTAATTACTTAAAAATCATACAATGTGATTTTCTGGATTTTTGTTTTAGATTCCGTCTCTCACAGTTGAAGTGTACCTATGATAAAAATTACAGACCTCTACATGCTTTGTAAGTAGGAAAACCTGCAAAATCGGCAGTGTATCAAATACTTGTTCTCCCCACTGTATATATATTTTTTTCTTTCTGGGTGATTTAAATATTGACTGGCTTTGATCACACTGCCCACTCAAGAGAAAGCTTCAAACTGTAACTAGTGCCTGCAACCTTGCTCAGGTTATCAGTCAACCTACCAGGGTAGTTACAAACAGCACAGGATGTAAATCATCAACATGTATTGATCACATTTTTACTAATGCTGCAGAAATCTGCTTTAAAGCAATATCCAAATCCATCGGATGTAGTGATCACAACATAGTAGCCATATCTACGAAAACCAAAGTTCCAAAGGCTGGGCCTAATATAGTGTAAAAGAGGTCATACAATAAGTTTTGTAGTGATTCCTATGTTGTTGATGTAAATAATACTTGTTGGTCTGTGGTGTGTAATGAAGAGCAACCAGACGCTGCAGTCTTTCATTGAATCAGATGGCTCATTCATCACAAAACCCACTAATATTACCAATTACTTTAAGGATTTGTTTCATTGGCAAGATCAGCAAATTTAGGCATGATACGCCAGCAGCAAATGCTGACACTACACATCCAAGTATAACTGATCAAATTATGAAAGACTAGCATTGTAATTTTGAATTCCGTAAAGTGTGTGGAAGAAGCGAAACAATTATTGTTGTCTATCAACAATGACAAGCCACAGGGGTCTGACAACTTGGATGGAAAATTACTGAGGATAATAGCGGACGATATTGCCACTCCTATTTGCCATATCTTCAATCTAAACCAGGCCTGGGCAAAGGCCGGCCTGGGGGCCGTGTGCGGCCCACGACCTGATTCAATACGGCCCACGGAATCATGCTCAGATCACATAAAGAATTTGCAATAGTAAAGTTTTGAAAAACGTATTTGCTATTCAAATTAAAAGCCCAATGAATGCTCGCCTTTGTGTAATGATTTAACTCCCACCGCTTGCGGGACATTTATTTTGAAGGCACGCATAAATAACAACTGCACGAGGACAGACAGTGACTGACAGGCTGACACATACGTCAGTTACAAATAGTAGCTAGCTAGAAATTGCGCAAAAATGAGTTTTTCAAAGAAAAGGAAAGTAGACAATGAATGTAGGATGTTCCAGCAAGAGTGGACATCGAAATATATATTTATTGAGGTATCAGGGAAAGCTGTCTGCTTAGAGAGCATTGCTGTCTTGAAAGACTACGACTTGTCCCGACACTTCCAGACGAAGCATGCAGAGAAATATAGGAATGTGTCTTCTGAGCAGAGGGCAAGTGCATCGAAAGAGTTGCTTTCTCAGTTGCAAAAGCAGCAAGGACTTTTCACAAAACTACATTCAGCAAACGACGGAATTGCGAGAGCTAGCTATGTACTGTCCCATTGCTAAACATAGCAAGCCATTCGCTGAGGACTCTGCAGCAATACTTTGCCCCGACAAGAAAGAGCTGTTTGAAAACGTTTCCCTGTCAAGACGAACAGTGACACCTCTACGGAAGCACAGTTCCCGCTCAGCCCAGTCAAAGCTATTCGCTGCTCTGGCACCCCAATGGTGGAACAAGCTCCCCCACGACGCCAGGACAGCGGAGTCACTGACCACCTTCCGGAGACACTTGAAACCCTAACTCTTTAAGGAATACCTGGAATAATCTAACAGTAATCCTTCTACACACCCCCCCTCCCCCAGTGGTGGTTGTCCCACTGGCTATCCTAAGTTGAATGCACCAATTTGTAAGTCGTTCTGGATAAGAGTGTCTGCTAAATGACTTAAATGTAAATATGGAACAACAGTTGAAAGACAGGGTAAAGGATTTCACCCATTTCTCCTTGGCCCTGGATGAGAGCAGTGATGCACGGGACACGCGCAGTTGTTGATATTCTTACGAGGCATAACTCCAGACTTTGAAATTACAGAGGAGCTTGCTTCAGTGCAGTCAATGAAGAGCACAAACACAGGGAAATATTTATTGGAGGAGGTTAATAAGTGTGTAGCAAAGCTGGGACTGGGTTTTGAAAAGTTATCCAGTGTGACCACTGATGTGTTCCCAACCTTGACAGGAAAAAACTTTGGCCTTTTGAAAAGGATACAAGATCAAGTAGCTGAGCTGAACCCAGATCAGAAAATAATTTTCCTGTATTGCATTATTCATTAGGAGGTGCTTTGTAACTGTGTTCTGAAAATGAGCCATGTTGTGGATACAGTCACTAAAGCGGTAAACTTCATAAGAGCAAAATCTTTAAACCACAGGCAGTTTGTCTCACTGTTGGAAGAGACAGAGTCGGGTCATGCAGCTCTCCCCTACCACACAAACGTGAGATGGCTGAGTTTGGGGAAGGCGCTTAAAAGGGTGTGGGACCTGAAGTCGGAGATTGCTGAGTTTTTGCAAATGAATGGAAAATATGTGGATTTCCCTCAACTGCAAGATAAAGAATGGTTGGCTGATTTTGCCTTCACCGTGGACATCATGGCCCTCATGAATGAACTGAATTCCAAACTACAAGAGAAGGGCCTTTTTGCACATCAGATGTACAGCCTTGTCAAAGCCTTCAAGGGAAAATTACTCCTCCTGGAGTAATGGATGTGGTTAATTTCTGTGCATATTAAAAAAGTAAAAAAAGTAGCATATCTGGACATGATTTACAGTAGAAATATCTGTCAACACAGTCATACACATGATGTATAATCCTGTAATATGATTCTGGCCCACGATGGCAAAAATATATTCTAATGTGGCCCTCCATGGAAAATAATTGCCCAGGCCTGATCTCAGCCTACTAGAAAGTGTGTGCCCTCAGGCCTGGAGAGAAGCAAAAGTAATTACGGTACCCAAGAATAGTAAAGCCCCCTTTACTGGCTCAAATAGCCGACCAATCAGCCTGTTATCAACCCTTAGTAAACTTTTGAAAAAAATTGTGTTTGACCAGATACAATGCTATTTTACTGTAAACAAATTGACAGACTTTCAGCATGCTTAAAGAGAAGGGCATTCTACAAGCTCAGCACTTACACTGAGAGAAATTGATAAAAAAGATTGTGGGAGCTGTTTTGTTAGACTTCAGTGCAGCTTTAGACATTATCGATCATAGTCTGCTGATGGAAAACGTATGTGTTATGGCTTTACACCCCCTGCTATATTGTGGATAAAGAGTTACCTGTCTAACAGAACACAGAGGGTGTTCTTTAATGGAAGCCTATCCAACATAATCCAGGTAGAATCAGGAATTCCCCAGGGCAGCTGTCTAGGCCCCTTACTTTTTTCAATCTTTACTAAAGACATGCCACTGGCCTTGAGTAAAGCCAGTGTGGCTATGTATGCAGATGACTCAACACTATTCACGTCAGCTACTACAGCGAGTGAAATCACTGCAACACTTAACAAAGAGCTGCAGTTAGTTTCAGAATGGGTGGCAAGGAATAAGTTAGTCCTAAATATTTCAAAAACTAAAAGCATTGTATTTGGGACAAATCATTCACTAAACCATAAACCTCAACTAAATCTTGTAATACATCATGTGGGATTGAGCAAGTTGAGGTGACTAAACTGCTTGGAGTAACTCTGGATTGTAAACTTGTCATGGTCAAAACATATTGATACAACAGTAGCTAAGATTGGGAGAAGTCTGTCAATAAAAAGCGCTACTCTGCCTTTTTAACAACACTATCAACATGGCAGGTCCTACAGGCTCTAGTTATGTCGCACCTGGACTACTGTTAAGTCGTGTAGTCAGGTGCCACAAAGAGAGCTAACATTAATAAAATGCATGTAAATCTCTCATGGCCCATTGTGGAGGAGAGATTGACTTCATCATTACTTGTTTTTGTAAGAAGTGTTGACATGCTGAATGCACCGAGGTGTCTGTTTAAACTACTAGCACACAGCTCGGACACCCATGCATACCCCACAAGACATACCACTAAAGGTCTCTTCACAATCCCCAAGTCAAGAACAGATTATGGGAGGCGCACAGTACTACATAGAGCCATGGCAACATGGAACACTATTCCACATCAGGTAACTGATGCAAGCAGTAGAATCAGATTTAAAAAACAGATAAAAATACACCTTATGGAACAGCGGAGACTGTGAAGACACACACACAGGCACACATACACCTGATAAGACACACACTCTACACACACGTACACATGGATGTTGTATTGTAAATATGTGATAGTGGCCTGAGGGAACAAACTAAATGTATAGGGTAAAGTGTTATGAAATGTAACGTCATGTAATATTTCCAACTGTATATAACTGCCTTAATGTTGCTGGACCCCAGGAAGAGTAGCTTCTGCCTTGGCAGCAGCTAATGGGGATCCTTAATAAATACAAATATGAAAGTGGAGCGTTTTTCCACTTGAAATCTCGTACTCAGTCTACCTACCGCTATACAGCACTGAAGAAATCCAATGGGAAACTCAATTAAGTGCATTTTTCTGTGGATGAGTTTAATCCTATTCAAAGATCCAGCCTTATTTTCATCCTTTTGGCTCAGCTACAGAGGACAGCAGGAAATTGAAGTTCTGAGCCTTTGTGTGTGTGTGTGTGTGTGTGTGTGTGTGTGTATGTGTGTTTAAATGCATGTACACGCGTTAGTGTGTCTGTGTACGCCTACCTCAACAGATCTATATCTGTGTAGTTATATTTAACCCTGTAGTCTCCAATCCTCCTGGTGCTGCTCTGACCAGCTATCAGACCAGCCTGACGAAGACCAGACACATCAAGACCTGGGAGATGGAGGGAGGAGAGGAGGGGGAAGGAGAAGATGAGGGGAAAAGTGGGATCAGGTGGAGAAGAGGAGAGCGGAGGAGAGGTGAAGGGGAGTGGAGGATGAGATGGGGGAAAAGACAGGGTGGGAGGAGGGGATGAGGTGGAGAAGAGGAGAAGAGGTGAAGGGGAGTGAAAGAGGGAACAAGGAAACAGAAAGAAAGGAATGAGATGAGGAGAGCAGATGTAAAGGACGAATGAAGCAGAGATGGGAGAGATAGGTGGAGGTGATGAAAGTAAGAGAGGGAGGGGAAGAGAAGAGAAGGGAGGAGAGGGGAAGGAGAAGAGGTCACCTTCAACCAGGGTTTGTGTTTTCCAATTAATTGACCCCCATTCCATTTTAAAGGCAGACTCAGAGATATGACGTAGGTGCACAAAGTAAAAGAGCATGGTGGGTCAATTTCCACAACAACTAAGAGCGTTGAAGCGCAAGGCTCAACTCCTCAGCTGTTTTAGTCCCGTAGCTTCCAGGCTGTAACAGCATGAAGTGAACCCATGCACAGACACTGTGTGTGACCGTGTGAGAGCCATGTCTTTCATCTAGCGCATCGCAATATCTGCGCTGCTGCTCGTGGCAATGTCATTTCGCTGAGTCTACCTTTAATAATTAAATGAATTACACAAGCTATTTAATCATTATCCCTGGGGTGAGAGAGAGGCTGAGAGCGAGAGAACAGAAAGAAAGAGAGAGAGGTAGGGGAGAGGTGGAGTGTATGTTTGTAAGACTGTAAAAACACCAGGAAATCAGCTCCAATTGATTTTAATTTTGTAAATCTGTTTGCAAATTCCCACGCACAGACAGTCAGGACACCAGTTTTAACGTCCCATTGGAAAGACGGCACCCTACGCAGGACAATGTTCCCAAATGTAATCAAGGTTTGAAATGATTATGTTTTAGTCAGATACTATATCTGTTTAGGCTTCTTGCGGTCAATTTGCAGTCTAAAAATATATATTATTTATTATGTTCCAGCCCCCCGACCATCCGCTCAAGAAAAAATTGGCCCACGGCTGAATCTAGTTGATGATCCCTGCTATAACATATGATATGGTTAGCTGATACGTAAAATACCTATCCAGGCAATGTAAGACCTGGCATGCGTCAGCAACATCTGAGCAGGGGAACACGACCTGTGTGTGTATGTGTGTGTGTGTAACTCACCCAGCCCAGCCAGTCTCTGCAGCTCGTCCTCGTTCTCTGTGGTGTGAGGTCGTCCGATCTGGATCACCTGGTTCTGACCGTCGCTGGTCGACTTACACAGCAGGGCCCGGTTGGTACCTGAACACAACACAACCATTAGACCACAATACAAACAGTCTGGTTGGTACCTGGACCACAACACAACCACCCATAAAAATTAAATACAGTAAGAGAGTCTGGTTGGTACCTGGACCAGAAACAGAACATAATCCAGTATTGTAGAATAATACCATTTCATTTCATTTTGTTGATTATTGGTACATTGATTGATTAAAAGGCTGCAGTGGCTGCAAGTACAGCTGACCCCAACAACCTTATCACTAAGATCCCTGACATTGAAACCAGTCTGAAACAGTCACTGTAATGGAGACCTCACTTATGAATTACTTCATTGGTGGCAGGTAGCCTAGCGGTTAAGAGCATTGGACCAGTAACCGAAAGGTTGCTGGTTTGAATCCCCGAGCCAACTAGGTGAAAAACCTGTAAATGTGCCCTTGAGCAAGGCACTTAACCCTAATTGCTCTTGTAAGTCGCTCTGGATAAGACTAAAATGTGAATTAATTAATGAATTAAATGGCTGTAATTGTCTATTAATTGGTCTTTCTGGTTTTAAGACCGGTTGATTAGAATCAAATAAACTAATCAAGATCTCTTGGGTTTTTATGCTGGTGGGTATTAGCTTGGTTAGCATAATGGTAGAGGAGATGTTGTTAACGTCTTGTGTTCCTGACCATGGCATTGCAACAACCTCTACACCCTATCTATCACATCTCAGCAGAAATACAACCTAACAAGCCGATAGGATTCACACACACACACACACACTATGGAATGAGTCAGGTGACTCTCCACAGCTGGAAACACTTTTCTCCCATAAAGGTTCCGTTTCATTGCCAAGGTCACCTCTCCACTTTGACCCCTGACGCGTACAAAGCTGGTGAGATAGACTGAACAGTCTCCTTCTTTTCCCCTCTCCACCCCTCCCCCGTAATGAACAGCCTTTAGTCCCCCCCCCCCTAAATAAATCATTTTCTGTCCTTATTCCACCCTTCAAACACCCAAGGGTCTTTTTCCCCTTCACTCCTCCCCCTGCTTTCTTTACCTTTTATTTGGCCCCCAAATCCCAATTTGAGACAGGCAGAGAGACGGCTAACCATGGGGTGAAAAAAGGACCCCAAATGGCAAGTCTGGAATTGTTGAGACCAAAACGTAGCTTTAAAAGATCCTTTACAATTATGGAGGATTTACATCACCAGTTGAGTTTCTTTTCTATGACCCAATGACTGACACACACACGTCTGTATGGAATAGCCAGACAGATGGTTTAAGGCCTATTGTAATGACCTAATGAGAAATGATTACGAGAATGGGTCTGGTTGTTATATCAACCCACGGTGAAACCCTCAGGAATGTGTGTGTGTTCATTTCAGAAATCTCTTTCTGGCTCTCGGCTAGAATTCTAATTTCCTACCAGAGTGGTCTGGCTTTTGGATTTTTTCAAATAATATATTTAGATGTTTTTCCACTCTCTGGTTCGGGGGGAGGGGGGTCTCACACACAGATGTAGACAGTAGAAACACATGGGCACGCACACACACACACACACACACACACACACACACAGATGTTGACTAAGAAAATTGTTACAGGGCAGAAAGGCTGGAACAAAGCCCGTTGACGTTCTGAATATAATTTCTAACATGTGTTTTGAATCAGAGCAGTAAATATCATTTTAACGTGTGTGTAAAAGGTCAGTGAGGACTAGGAGGTGTTGGCTCCAGTACCACCAGCAACGCTGGTATACAGGGATCCATCTATGGCTCCAGTACCCTTTTTCAGACTGCCAAACCAAACCATACTATGCTGGCTTGACTATGTAATTGTGCCTGTGTGTTTACGTGGCTTTGGTTGTGTTCATGCAAGGCTGTGCCCCTGGATGTGTATGTGAGCATCCTGTGTCTGTGCGTGTTGTTGTATGTGTGTGTGTGTGTGTGTGTGTGTGTGTGTGTTGAACAACAGTACGTACCCACGTTGGCGATGTAGAGCTTGTTATTGTGTATCAGAGCCACCACAGCCGTAGCTCCACCAGACACCTCCTGCTCCAGCTCCTTCAGCCGCTCAGAAAGCTTCTGACTCTGGGGGGACAGCTGGTGGAATGATACACCCTGGTGGAGGGAGGGAGGGAGGGGTTGGGGAGGGAGAGGGATGAGGGTGGGCAAAAAAAGTAGAAGATGGGAATAGGAGAGAGAAAGAGATTTAGGAAGGTTAGTTAAGATCGATTCAACGGCTAATGAGACTATATTGATTCCCAATGAGTACATTCTAATATGAACTGTGGTTGCCATGGAAATCAACGGTGCAAAAAGTTCCTAAATCTAAGTTCAATCTCCTGGGAATCAAACAGTAGTACAAAACTTAACACGCTATAATAAGTCACAAGTCTGCACTGTGAGAGTGAGTGACAGAGTGCCATGCTTACCTCAGGTAGCTGAGATTGTATATTAGCCTTTTCTGCCAGAGCGTCACCGATTGTCTCAAAGTAACTCTTCTCTACAACGTCGAAGGCCTTAGGATAAAACAACAGAACCAATGGTATAAACATTCAAATAGCTTTTCTTATGATATGATGCTTCTTTGACTGCGTACTACCTAGAGCAGACAGACAGACAGACGGACAGGCAGGCAGACACGCTGATTCAAAGACATAACAGTGGATATCACACACACGCGCGCCTACCTGTGAGAGAATTCTGCGGACATCAGCGTCAGTGTGTGTAGAGTTGAGCTGTCCCAGAAGCAGTTCTGCTGTCAGACACTGAGAGACGAAGCTGGACACTCTGCTCCCATCAAACCCATTAAACACTCCGTACAGGGAACAGCCCTCCTCACCTCTGATTGGACAGAAAGAACCAACTCTTTATCTGATTGGTCAAAACAAGAACAACTCTTATATTTGATTGGTCTGTTGTGAGACACTGGTCGAGTTTGTTTTGCATGGCCCGGTTCCCTGTGTGGGCGGAGTTTGCTTATTTCAGACCATTCCATTGGTCCTAATCTCCACCCACCGGGGCACGCAAAACGAACTCACACATTGAGACACAAAGCTGGACACTCTAACCCTGTACAGAAAACAGCCATCCTCACCTCTGATTAGACAGAAGACAACTCTTTATGTCTGATTGGACAATATTCCTAGAACTCTTACTGGCTGTGTTATCTGCACAGATCACAAGCCTTGGTCAGTGTGAGTATGTAAGCAGGGGTTCCCCTTTTTTGCCCCACGACCCCATTTTGATATTTAAAAAAATGTCTAGACCCCACCATGTAAAACATGTGATGTAATCAACAACGGCCAATGTTTACTTTTTTAATTGGGGCTATGACAGTCTATTACAAATCAGTCTGACAGTACTTTTGACAGTATATCAATATGAAGGAAGAATGGTTTGAAGTAGGGCCGAGACGATACCAGTATTGCGATATTGTTTCAATGACAAAAATGAAAACACAAAGCAGACTTGACTCTCCGGTCCTTTAAAAACCTGCTGTATGTAAAATATTGTGTGCTATAGCTTGGGAAATAAATACATGTGACTCTGGATGTCAATAAATATTGTTTGTTTCCGACATAAGGGCTGTTTTCCTAAAGAAGTTAAATCCGCTTCATGTTTTGTGTACTTGCCATGATACTAAAGTTCTAGCCCTAGTTTGAAGTGACTGAAATGCATCAAAAAGGTATTGGGAAGTTCAGAAGATCATCAGGCAATAATTTTGTATGAACTTCTGTGTAGAACGATAGGGCCTAGTTACTGCCCCCCTCCCTTGATGTAGCGTCTTGTCTTGTCCACTATGTTCTAAATGAGACTTGTGGGCATTGCAGAGGGAAACAGAAGACACATACATGTTTCTGAGAGTCTTATCTTTCAGTAATGTGCTCATAAACTGTTCAAAAGATAGAGCCACATTTGTAGGAAGAAAATAGAAACCGCTCTGTTTATTACAACCACATCTGTTGGCGAACAGAGGTTACTGATGTAACCCTGGTTCTATGAACCAAGCAATTGGCTCCAGTACCACCAGCAACGCTGGTATACAGGGATACATCTATGGCTCCAGCACCCTTTTTCAGACTGCCAAACCAAACCATACTATGCTGGCTTGAATATGTTTTTTCCAGCATGGTTCCCATAGCTATGGTGGATGTGTAACCAGGCCAGGACAGTACAGCTGGGTTTGGCCTTAAAGTGTGAATCAGGCTCAGGTGTCTCAGTTACCTGAACCTGAAGTGTCCGTCCTCGTTGGGGTGGCTCTGGGTGTCCTTTCCGTCGGGTCCATAGGTACAGTTGGGGGCCGTGCCCACCCCACACATCTGACACAGGGGCAGGTCATCTGTCCAGCTCTGATGCTACCATGGTGGAGATTGAACAATGACATTAGCTAGTGTGTTAGTCATAGAGATCCTACTTATGTAACCTAATTCTATGGTTTTAGTGTTCAGACTTTTCTGACGACCATTGAAATTGTCCTGCTACTTGGCCTGCTAATTGTTTCCTACTAGATTTGAGACCCATATCATACTGTTCTGATGCTGTGGGAAAACACAGATTCATACTTCTGGTTCAGTTTAGGCTTTGACGACCATAGAAACTGTACAATATTCACATAAAAACTTGGCCTCAAACAGTGTAATATTAACAGGAAACGAACAAGTCAAGTGTGTTCAGAAAATTTCCCTTTCTTCACTACCATTGGCTAGCTAGATAGAACCAATGATTTGGACAGGGGCGGTGTGTTCATTAGGGCGATATGGGCGACGCACTGCCAAACGGGAAAAGGAAGGGCTTTTTTTCTAATCAATTATATCACGGCAACAGTAGTTATCAGTGTTCTAATCTAGACGTCTGATCTGCCACTAAATGTCCAATCAGGCTAAAGTCGTGCTTCAAATGGCCCCGCCCCTTTTGGGGCGATTTCAGTCAGGTTGAAAATCGCCCCAGAAGTCTCTCATAGACTCTCATGTAAAATCTTTTTTTTTCAAATATCAGAGCTTTCAATACAATCTCTATGGGTTCCGGGAGGGCTTGCACTTACGCGCTTTCGTCATACGTAACATAACCATGAACGTAACTAAGAAAAGAGCGGGTAGCAGCGTCAATCAATTCACGTACTACTGTCAAGATGGCTAGCGTTCAGTGCAACTCGATTGTCTCTTTGCTTCTAGTATTGACTTATATGCTGCCCCTGTCTTCATGTTGTTGCTGGACATATCTTTTTTAAAATGTGTGTAGGTCACCTAAATCATCAGAAAAATTGCCCCCCCCCTGAGTATTTTTTCAGGAGCCGCCACTGGATTTGGATATAACTCAACTGACCCCTGTGGCTAAGAGACACGCCCCTTAAATAGTAGCTAGCTAAATACATATAAATTGTCAAGTAAAGAACACAAACTTAGTTAGTTTTCTAGCTGGCTAAGATAGCAATGTTTTTAGCCACGTTAGGCTAGCTTAGCTAGCGGCAGATGCTGTTGCTTGCCGCGCACCCCCACGGGGTTCGTGAACTAGTTGTTTCAATTGTCTTTTGGTGAGCTATATTACTTTATTCGAACACAAAATGTGACTGGAGTTGGTTATCAATAAGCACGTCTACAAAAATGAGAAATTATTTTTGTCTTACGCTTTGCATCAGCTGCCGACGCTGGGACGCCATCTTTGACGGAACTGTTTGTGAACTTCATGGGCGTCAACCTTGCGCAGCGATTGCGCATTTTCCTTTCATTTCCTTTATTATAGCGCCATCATGTAGACATTTGTTGTATGACATTTCGAAAGGCGAGGAAGAGGATGGAACATTTTTATCAATTATAATCAGATGTGCTTGCTGAAAGCAAGAACAACTTTTGACATCCGACATATTATTATTATTATTATCTTTCAGCTGGCACATGTAGCGCCAAAACTGTAAAAGCTACCAATACCAAAACAACTTTAAAGTGTGCAGGCTCACTGTCTTCAGTGTTTGGTGCAAATTTCAGGTGTTTAATAGTGATACATTTTCAAAACAGTTTTAATACTTTCTGTCTTATGTCCAGAACCTTTCATTCATTCATTGGCTTTGAACACATCTTTCACTATTTAAGTCATTCATGCAAAATCAAAGTTCATTATGAAATATTTGCTTTAATCACAAATACAATATATGCCATTCAGCAGATGCTTTTATCCAAAGCGAGTTACAGTCATGCGTGCATACATTTTATTTATGGTTGGTCCCAGGACTCAAAACCACTACCCTGGGGCTACAAGTACCATGCTCTACCACCCTTGATAAAGATGAGCAAAAAATACATAATAATACAAATACCGGGATATATTTGAAGTACAATTTTTTTGGACAATTATATTATTTTATACTAATACAATTACTCTGAGGTTAGGCCCCCAGAATGTACACATTTGGCCCAACAGGCGATCAAGCAATTCTCTTGCCTTCAGAGAGCCGCGGAAGTGAACAGAGAAGTGGACCTTTACACAGTTGCAATGTTTTGTATAAAACCGATATCGTATCAAATAAATGCAACTGATATCAATACAGATTGTCCATATAGGTACCCATAACTCTAAAAAAATACAGACAGAGCATCAGTGTAGCTACTAATTTTGTTTATGATGTGTGGTCTAAGGCACTGCATCGCAGTGCTAGCTGTGCCACTAGAGATCCTGGTTCGAATCCAGGGTCTGTCGTAGCCGGCCGCGACCGGGAGACCAATGGGGCGGCGCACAATTGGCCCAGCGTCGTCCAGGGTAGGGGAGGGAATGGCCGGCAGGGATGTAGCTCAGTTGGTAGAGCATGGCGTTTGCAACGCCAGGATTGTGGGTTCGATTCCCACAGGGGGCCAGTATGAAAAAATAAAAAATATAATAATAATAATGTATGCACTCACTAACTGTAAGTCGCTCTGGATAAGAGCGTCTGCTAAATGACTAAAATGTGAAATGTAAATGCTTGCTCAATCATTTGTATGGATCTATAAAGGATTGCTACAGTACACCTTTATCTCTGTAGCTAGATATTGACATTCACAACTATAGTTTGTCATTTAGGCTAGATTTCTTAATCTCTGTACCTAGACAGTGACATTCACAACTATTGTTTATTGTCATGTAAGAGTAGATTTCTTAATCTCTGTACCTAGACAGTGACATTCACAACTATTGTTCATTGTCATGTAGGCTAGATTTATTAAATTAAACTATAGGCTACTGTACACAGGATCATGTTTGTTCTATTCAACTCTATTCAATGCTACAGTTCCATTCAATAAACAATTTGTGGCAGACCAGGCGGTTTAATCTAGACAGATCAGACACAAGTGTGATACCTCAGTTTCAAGGGTGTTTATTTACAACCATAAAGAAAAAGAAAAGAAACAAGTCTCCGCCAGGAGACCTCTTCTGGGTTACCGTCTTCTGTGCTCCGGGGAATGCTGTCTCCTCTGGGGTAGACCACAGAGCCCCTCAGTTCTAGCAGTGCCTTAGACCACTGCGCCACTCGGGAGGCCACACTATAGTGACAGGTGATCTCCGGGACCAATGGTTTGGGTGGCTCTGTGATGTTTGTTGATGTCCCAGGTGAACCTTAGAGGCAGGTCCTTCATCTTCTCTTCAAACACCTGGTCGAAGCGTTCACTCTGAGCCACCGTCAACAAGTTCTTCCAGTCTCCTATGGTACCTGTGCAGAACACACACACGCACACACACACACACACAAACACACACACACATGCGCGCGCACACACACACACACACGCATGCAGATGCACATCGCACACACACACACACACACATATTCAGTAGAGCCAAAGTATTACAAAAAAATGCTTAACCTTTGGAGTGTGCATGTCTCTAGCCAATGTAAACAAGAGAAATGGCACTGCTATTACTGCAATGTACAGTAGGAGTGCTGATCTAGGATCAGGGCCCCACCTGTCCATATAGTCCTATCAATTATGATCTAAAAGGGAAAACTGATCCTTTATCAGCAATCCTACTCTGACTGTTTGTGTGTGTATGTGTGTTTGCGCATGTGTGTGTGCGTGCATGTGTGTGTACCTTTCCGTAGGAAGTGTCCTTTCTCCAGAACGAGCACGTCTTTGGGCAGAAACTCATAGTTGGCTTTTGGATCCTTTTTCATGTTCTTGAACCTGTCAATCAATCAATCAATCAATCAATCAATGAAATGTATTTGACGGATGGATAATCAGACAGATCATATTAGATTAGTCCTCAATGATGCCATTCATTTTGCAGCATACACAATATACAGTCAAAAAGACAGGATAGAGCACATAAAAAATAGGTTCCAACCTGGCCTTCTCAACAATGCGGTCAATGGCCGAGGGGGTCAGGTTCTTCCCTAGGAAATCACAGATATCCACCACCACTGACCTCAGATCCTGGGAGAGGGGGGGAGGGGGAGAGGGAGAGGGGGAGAGGGAGGGGTGAAGAGAGAGAGAGGTGGGCAGACGTTAGGTAGAGGGGGAGAGGGAGAGGGGGGGGAGGGGGAGAGGGAGAGGGGGAGAGGGAGGGGTGAAGAGAGAGAGAGGTGGGCAGACGGGGAGAGGGGGAGAGGGAGGGGGGGGAGGGGGAGAGGGAGGGGTGAAGAGAGAGAGAGGTGGGCAGACGTTAGGTAGAGGGGGAGAGGGAGAGGGGGGGAGGGGGAGAGGGGGGGGAGGGGGAGAGGGAGGGGTGAAGAGAGAGAGAGGTGGGCAGACGTTAGGTAGTTGCCCTGTATGTCATACAGCATAAAAGTGTTTCTCAGAGAGAGAGCGAGAGTCAGTGAGTGAAAAGGGCAACCAGTGATGAACAAACACCATTGTAAATACAACCAATATTTATGTTTATTTATCTTCCCTTTTGTACTTTAACTATTTGCACATCGTTACAACACTGTATATAGCCATAATATGACATTTGAAATGTATCTATTCCTTTGGAACTTTTTTGAGGGTAATGTTTACTGTTAATTTCTGATTGTTAATTTCACTTTTGTTTATTATCTATTTCACTTGCTTTGTCAATGTAAACATATGTTTCCCATGCCAATAAAGCCCTTTGAATTGTATTGAAGAGAGAGAGAGAGAGAGAGAGAGAGAGAGAGAGGGGGGAGAGAGAGAGAGAGAGAGAGAGAGAGAGAGAGAGAGAGAGAGAGAGAAACAGATCGACAATCAAGCAGACAGACTGCTTGAGATTGCTTCCCAAATGGCACCGTATTCCCTACTTAGTGCACTACTTTTGAGCAGAGGGCCCTAGTCAAATGTAGTGCACTATATAGGGAATAGGATTCCATTTGAGATGCAGAAAAAGCCTTTACTGTACCTTGATCATGTCCTCGTACTTGACAAAGAGAATGTCATACTGCCCTCTCTTGGTGTGCCACTCACGGACATGGTCAAACCACGATCCACCCACCACTGTCAACAACACACAGACACACACGCTATTTGATAGGACTTAAAACATCTTTACCAGTGGCTGACTTTTCTCCCCCAAAAAAATTATACTAAAGGAGATAATGTGTACAAAATACACATGTAGGGCGGCAAGTAGCTTAGTGGTTAAGAGCGTTGTGCCAGTAACCGAAAGGTCGCTGGTTCTAATCCCTGAGCCAACTAGGTGAAAATCTGTCGTTGTGCCCTTGAGCAAGGCACTTAACCCTAATTGCTCCTGTAAGTCGCTCTGGATAAGAGCGTCTGCTAAAAATAAAATAAATATTATTGTGTATGCAAATGTAAAAGTTACAAGAGCTTACAGAGTAAGGAACAGTTGATGTTACACAGTACTGCAACAAGTTTTCAACATACCTTTCTCTGTCAGGTACTGCTATGTGACATTTTGTTGGGTTCCAATTTGAAATCTACTTATTCCTGTCACTTTATAAGAACATATTGATTACGCTACATGTATAATAACTGTATGTGTCCAGTGTCAGTGGAGGGTGAACAAGGAACTGTGCATGGAAAGTTACTGAGAGAGACAAGGAGGAGTTTAGAAAGTGTCTGTCTGTTCAAACATGTCATTGGTACATAATATCTCAAGAAGCGAGGCAAGGGGCAACAGTTAGTCTCTGATTAGGCAGGCAGCTATGGAACTAGGGAGGAGCGAGGAATTTGGCTCAAGGTCAAGTCAACAGATGAAGTGTGAAGAAACCTCTGTGAGGGGGGCCAGAGGGCTCCACCCTAGGTCTGTTCCGGTGATTTAAGATGTCTTTGGTACATAATTGCCTATACTCCAAAATGAAACAAATTCAAGTAACCACCTTTGAGAGTGGACTGCATTATTATGCATACTGGTTTGCATGTTTTACCTTATGCTACACTCCAAAATGTATATCCACAAGTCTGGGACAGAACGTATAGTCCTAGGCGATGCTGTTGGTTCATCGATTGTGCAGTGCTGTACAGTTAGCCTACAATTATAGTGAATTTGAATTTGATTTTGAATAGCCTAGTTATAGGGATAATTTTTATATTTTCATAATGAATTGGGTGACACATTGCCTTTAGCTATACAGAATATCTCACCACCATGCGTTTCCATTTCCTCCTCTCTCTGCTTTATTCCTTTCTTGAGCGCGCAGAGGTGCTGTCAACAGTTTAGTGAAATATGTTTCGCTGCGAAAACATGTTACTATCGATGTTCCTGAACAGATTTCACTTGGTTTCCCAAATGAAGCACTGGGTAGCTGCAGGAACAGGGTTGGAGAGCCCATTGCATACAGAGTTTGGGCAGAATATCACCTGTCGGGCAGCGAGAGCATGCTCCTCAAACGGTGGTTGATGCTTGGAGTGAAATAAGTGTTCTTATATTTATTTCTCAGCTGCTCATATTAAGTAAACACAGCTCTGCTATAAAACCGAAGAAGCCTACCTGGCATCATTGAAAAACGAACCGGCGGGAAAGCGCGCAGCCTCCATTCCCTATTGCAGTGCATACAGATGGTGCCTGAACCCTCTGCGCCGACTCATTCCGGGCTAAGTGCTACTGTGCAGACTTTTTCTTCACTGACTAGTGAGCAACAGCAAGCATTCCTGAAAGTAACCGGAGTTGGGGGTAACGCATAGGGTATAATTTGGCCTCAATGCGGTTGCTCAAAATGGCTAAATTTAAGACAAAAAAAACGAAATTCGTTCAGTATGGAGTTTCAGAGACAGAATCAAAAGTTATGCAACTACTACCCATGCCATTTACAATAGGTCCAGTAATCATACCGGGCTCATTCTTTATGGTAGCTGTGATAGAACCGATTTTGGGTTTGGATAATCTATGCGAAATGCCAGGGGAATGGATTCTGAAAAGTAACAAGTTAAACTTGGTACGATGACGAAACACTCCTCGCAAGTTTTTTTTTTTTTTTAACGCTTTGGTGAGGAACTTTATTGAGTTTTTCTCTTAAATAGTTTTACAGAATTGACGAAAGGGAGGAGGGGTCTCACGAGAGAATAAAGTGGAGTTAAGAGTATGAGGAAGCGTTTGTAGAGGTAATGAAATAATTGTGTTAAGCACCTGCATTGGGGTAGAATTACCCTCTTAAATGTTTGTGCATTAATAGGATGGGCACTGTAGCGCGGTAGTGGAGGGTAAACTCGAACTACACCCTTTTTACCCTCCTTCGGCAAGTAAAGTTATGCAGAATCATGGAGGAAAAGACAGACCAGTCATGTACTGGAGTAAATCTTTAGACTCAGTAGCAAGAGGAATGCCACCGTGCCTATTAGTACAAGCAGCCGAAGTGGTTCTTCACAACACCGCCTTGATTATTATGGTTAAAAAAGTAGATATGTATGTTCCACATGCAGTAGCGACTATCGTTAACAGTACAAAAGACCAACACGTTACTAGCACCCACTGGACAAAATTCGGAAACTACGCAGAAAATGGTAAAGAACAGTTAAATCGATGCAGTACATTTTAATTTGGTGAATATTGGTATCTGGTTGGTGTATTTTATCATTTGGGACCATTACACATTTAAATAATATACATTAATGACTGTGAAGCAAATAGTGAATATCTAACGGAGATTGGTAATAGTATATGTTGGGGTAGATTAAAGCACATGATACCTTCCAGTAAGGAGGAAGTAAAGGGGCCTCCCTGTGAACAGAAGTTATCATGTTTTGTTTAGTCTGTAATTAAAACCTTTCTGTTCACCTGGTAAAGGAAAGTTAAATGGAAAGTTACATGGAAAGTAAGATAGAAAGATTTACCATTTTGACTTTTTAGGACTGATTGAGATTTAGCACAATGAAAACTAACTAAATGATTATTTTCTCTTCCAGGAGAGGATGGTGTGTCCCCTACCAAGTATTCTGATGAGTTTAAAAATGACTATGTATCCCTCCCTTTGAAATGTTTCCTGAGGCCGTTGCCTTGGGGAGTAGTTTGTGAAATTCTGCCGTTCTATAAAGTATAAAGGTACCCGGATCCAGCCGTTACGGGAGCTCCAAATTAAGTAAGGCCTGGCCATTTGTTTGTTTTTGTCATCACATTATACCACACACCAGCATTCACACACAACCCCCCTGTTATGAATATTTGTTAGTGCCGTTAATACCGTGTCTGATTTATTGTGTGTGCTCTTTCTACTTGGGTTTAGTAGGGTCTTCACAGGTTAGAAAGGATGCACCTTAAAGGGCACACAAATGAAATGTTATCTATTGCCTGAATTTTGGTTCCACACGTAAGTTTTCTTGATGAGAAATGTACTGAAAAACCCAATGTAAACCTGGTACAGAGAATGTTTGAAATGTTTTTAAATAATGAGTCTGAAGTACAGGGAAAGAAAATGGAAAGAAACACTCACTTAATGGTACTGAATGACCTCTGACTGTTCTGACTTTCTGGTGAGGCCTGATCACCCTCGCTAGAAAGGCTAGAGACATTGGTTGAAATTCAAATATAATACGTAAACGCTGATAATTCTGAAGAGGTGTATCGCTGTTGTTGTTTTGTTCATTTTGTTTTTGTCTTTGCTTCAATACAAAATCTCACCAGATTGGGTCTGCTGTATTGTCGAGATTTTTCCCTAAGGCTTAGGCCTCTAACTCCCTGACCCTGTAACTCTGTGGTATAAGCCAATTTGCAAAAAGGTTTCAACAGTGTTTTGTTATTCTCTTCGACATTTGTTTTAGACATTTGTATTAAGAATGTTGGAAAATGTAATAATTAGTCATACAGTGAATCGTTTGTCTGGGTTCCCTGAATCAGAAATGCCCTAAACTGTTGTTCTGATCTGCCTTCTCTTGAGGTTATACCAATAGTGATCCCAGATGGTATCTAGATGGTATTCTCTCATGCTGTTGGTGCACTGGTCGGAAAATGGACAGGATAGAATGGACCGGAAAGGATGGTTGTGGCGGCTCAGGTGAGAGATTCTTCTGGTTGGGAAGATCTGATTATTCCCCGTAATTGATTTGGGGTTGCCCAAAATTGCATATTGGGAAATGTATAGTAATTTAGACAAAAAAATGCAGTACTTAGAAAAGTTAATGCTAGAAATATAAGATGGATATACTTTATGTTAACGTTAGTAGTACATACTGTATACATTTCTCCCTGTCTGTAAATGTACATTCTGCCATTGTCGGTTTGTGCTAAGCTGATGGTCTTAAATTCGAGTGATAGACTCTAAGTGAAGCATTAGGGACTGTCAATCTAAATTTGGGTTGGATAATTTATCAGAAGTTCTAATTATGATTGGGGAAGGTGAGAAGGAGAGAGGGCACAAAGGGAGGGGAGGGTGCACTACTCATTCTGCAGGTGGTTTCTGAAATTAATTCATAATTTGTAAGAATAATTGAGACTAGGGAAACCTTATCTGTTCATGTCCTTCGAGATGGAGATTATCAGAAAGCTCACTATAGATTGCAGCTTGGGCAATGTCAGCCATAACTGAGATCTTAATTTTAGGGGCTTTGTTTTACCATGCCATCAAAACCACAATGGTAAAGTGCATTAATACCTATGGCTTGCTGGATGATACAGTCCAATTAATTACTTACAAGGCTCGTAGTCTGTGTCTTGCTAAGACACCCGAGGATGAGGATGTGGGACAGGGTGTGAGTGAGCCGTCTCCGATGATCTGAAGCCGATAGGGGGAGACTGGGTATAAGTGAGAGGGATATCCAACAGGGATCTCATTTTCATGGAGCCCAGTGAAGATCTAGCGTCCCATCGGCATAGAACAGATCGGATGGACGGTCCTTGCCCCAATCTCATTCTCTTGAAGGATGGTGTGAAATTATTAAACTTGTATTTTTTCTCTTCCTTGTTCAAGTCAATACGTTTTCTAGGTGGCGTGGAACGTGTGATCACTGTTTCAGATGAGGGACTGTTGGAAACTGACTAATTGATTTGAACATGTTTTAGTATGTTTATAACTATACAAGTAGCCTAGCAGCAGTGATCAACGTGTTATGGGTTAGATGGAATAATCTATGTGTAATGGTGTTGGACCAGAGGCGAAGTGAGGATGACATGGCGTGGGAACACCTCCTGTAAACCTCCAGCCTGAGAGGGGAAGGCAGGGTACAAGCATGAGGAAGTGTATACAGCCTTCATTTTTGTGGATCCCTGCAGAAAGTATCCCAACGGTTTACAGTCAGGATAAGGGAGAGTGGTAATCGTCATGTCGTTAAACTTCGAGTTTCGCCATATTAACCAATTAATAATAATTGCAATATTTTGTGTTCTCACTCTCTTCCTGAGTTTCCTTTTCTACTATCACTCTCTTAGGAACCCGAAAGAGGAAGAGAAAGCCAAAATCTCCAAATGAAATGTAATTATCAGTTATATATAGGAGGAACAAGTGGTGGGAAAAGTACTCAAGTATTTCATACTTGAGTAAAAGTAAAGATACCTTAACAGAAAATTATTCAAGTAAAAGTGAAAGTCACCCAGTAAAATACTACTTGAGTAAAAGTCTAAAAGTATTTGGTTTTAAATATAGTTAAGTATCAAAAGTAAATGTAGTTGCTAAAATATACTTAAGTATGAAAAGTAAAAGTAAAAGTACAAATAATGTAAAATTCCTTATATTAAGCAATTTTTTTTGTCCTGCTAAGCATTCAGAATGTAACGAGTACTTTTGGGTGTCAGGGAAAATGTAAGGAGTAAAAAGTACATAATTGTCTTCAGGACTGTAGTGAAGTAAAAGTAAAAGTTGTCAAAAACATAAATAGTAAAGTAAAGTACAGATACCCCAAAAAACGACATAAGTAGTATTTTAAAGTATTTTTACTTACAGTGAGGGAAAAAAGTATTTGATCCCCTGCTGATTTTGTATGTTTGCCCACTGACAAATAAATAATCAGTCTATAATTAATGGTAGGTTTATTTGAACAGTGAGAGACAGAATAACAACAAAAACATCCAGAAAAACGCATGTCAAAAATGTTATAAATTGATTAGCATTTTAATGAGGGAAATAAGTATTTGACCCCCTCTCAATCAGAAAGATTTCTGGCTCCCAGGTGTCTTTTATACAGGTAACGAGCTGAGATTAGGAGCACACTCTTAAAGGGAGTGCTCCTAATCTCAGCTTGTTACCTGAATAAAAGACACCTGTCCACAGAAGCAATCAATCAATCAGATTCCAAACTCTCCACTATGGCCAAGACCAAAGAGCTCTCCAAGGATGTCAGGGACAAGATTGTAGACCTACACAAGGCTGGAATGGGCTACAAGACCATCGCCAAGCAGCTTGGTGAGAAGGTGACAACAGTTGGTGCGATTATTCGCAAATGGAAGGAACACAAAAGAACTGTCAATCTCCCTCGGCCTGAGGCTCCATGCAAGATCTCACCTCGTGGAGTTGCAATGATCATGAGAATGGTGAGGAATCAGCCCAGAACGACACGGGAGGATCTTGTCAATGATCTCAAGGCAGCTGGGACCATAGTCACCAAGAAAACAATTGGTAACACACTACGCCGTGAAGAACTGAAATCCTGCAGCGCCCGCAAGGTCCCCCTGCTCAAGAAAGCACATATACAGGGCCGTCTGAAGTTTGCCAATGAACATCTGAATGATTCAGAGGAGAACTGGGTGAAAGTGTTGTGGTCAGATGAGACCAAAATCGAGCTCTTTGCCATCAACTCAACTCGCCATGTTTGGAGGAGGAGGAATGCTGCCTATGACCCCAAGAACACCACCCCCACTGTCAAACATGGAGGTGGAAACATTATGCTTTAGGGGTGTTTTTCTGCTAAGGGGACAGGACAACTTCACCGCATCAAAGGGACGATGGACGGGGCCATGTACCGTCAAATCTTGGGTGAGAACCTCCTTCCCTCAGCCAGGGCATTGAAAATGGGTCGTGGATGGGTATTCCAGCTTGACAATGACCCAAAACACACGGCCAAGGCAACAAAGGAGTGGCTCAAGAAGAATCACATTAAGGTCCTGGACTGGCCTAGCCAGTCTCCAGACCTAAATCCTATAGAAAATCTGTGGAGGAAGCTGAACGTTCGAGTTGCCAAAAATCAGCCTCGAAACCTTAATGACTTTGAGAAGATCTGCAAAGAGGAGTGGAACAAAATCCCTCCTGAGATGTGTGAAAACTTGGTGGCCAACTACAAGAAACGTCTGACCTCTGTGATTGCCAACAAGGGTTTTGCCACCAAGTACTAAGTCATGTTTTGCAGAGAGATCAAATACTTATTTCCCTCATTAAAATGCAAATCAATTTATAACATTTTTGACATGCGTTTTTCTGGATTTTTTGGTTGTTATTCTGTCTCTCATTGTTCAAATAAACCTACGATTAAAATTATAGACTGATCATGTCTTTGTCAGTGGGCAACCGTACAAAATCAGCAGGGGATCAAATACTTTTTTCCCTCACTGTAAGTACTTTACACCACTGGGAGGAACACTGAAAGATAGGATGAAATTACAAGGGTGATTGGTGTGGTTATAATGATGATAAGAGGGCCTTAAACCTTGGGTGTAGACTAAGTACAATATATACACAGAGGCCATAGGTCTCGGAGGTGTGAACATATTAATCAAGGGTTTTCTTTTTATACTAATCATGTTCTCTTTTTTGTTTTATTTCTAAGCAATTTCAAAGTTTATGTAATGTTGAACAGTATGGAGTCACTATTCAAACAAGAGGGGACTGTTGGGTTCCATTTTGAAATCTACTTATTCCTGTCACTATATAAGAATTTATGGATTACCTTACATATACACTGCTCAAAAAAATAAAGGGAACACTAAAATAACACATCCTAGATCTGAATGAATGAAATAATCTTATTAAATACTTTTTTCTTTACATAGTTGAATGTGCTGACAACAAAATCACACAAAAATTATCAATGGAAATCAAATGTATCAACCCATGGAGGTCTGGATTTGGAGTCACCCTCAAAATTAAAGTGGAAAACCACACTACAGGCTGATCCAACTTTTATGTAATGTCCTTAAAACAAGTCAAAATGAGGCTCAGTAGTGTGTGTGGCCTCCACGTGCCTGTATGACCTCCCTACAACGCCTGGGCATGCTCCTGATGAGGTGGCGGATGGTCTCCTGAGGGATCTCCTCCCAGACCTGGACTAAAGCATCCGCCAACTCCTGGACAGTCTGTGGTGCAACGTGGCATTGGTGGATGGAGCGAGCCATGATGTCCCAGATGTGCTCAATTGGATTCAGGTCTGGGGAACGGGCGGGCTAGTCCATAGCATCAATGCCTTCCTCTTGCAGGAACTGCTGACACACTCCAGCCACATGAGGTCTAGCATTGTCTTGCATTAGGAGGAACCCAGGGCCAACCGCACCAGCATATGGTCTCACAAGGGGTCTGAGGATCTCACCTCGGTACCTAATGGCAGTCAGGCTACCTCTGGCGAGCACATGGAGGGCTGTGCGGCCCCCCAAAGAAATGCCACCCCACACCATGACTGACACACCGCCAAACCGGTCATGCTGGAAGATGTTGCAGGCAGCAGAACGTTCTCCACAGCGTCTCCAGACTCTGTCACGTCTGTCACGTGCTCAGTGTGAACCTGCTTTCATCTGTGAAGAGCACAGGGCGCCAGTGGCGAATTTGCCAATCTTGGTGTTCTCTGGCAAATGCCAAATGTTCTGCACGGTGTTGGGCTGTAAGCACAACCCCCACCTGTGGATGTCGGGCCCTCATACCACCCTCATGGAGTCTGTTTCTGACCGTTTGAGCAGACACATGCACATTTGTGGCCTGCTGGAGGTCATTTTGCAGGGCTCTGGCAGTGCTCCTCCTGCTCCTCCTTGCACAAAGGCAGAGGTAGCAGTCCTGCTGCTGGGTTGTTGCCCTCCTACGGCCTCCTCCACGTCTCCTGATGTACTGGCCTGTCTCCTGGTAGCGCCTCCATGCTCTGGACACTACGCTGACAGACACAGAAAACCTTCTTGCCACAGCTCACATTGATGTGCCATCCTGGATGAGCTGCACTACCTGAGCCACTTGTGTGGGTTGTAGACTCCGTCTCATGCTACCACTAGAGTGAAAGCACCGCCAGCATTCAAAAGTGACCAAAACATCAGCCAGGAAGTATAGGAACTGAGAAGTGGTCTGTGGTCACCACCTGCAAAACCAGTCCTTTATTGGGAGGTGACTTGCTAATTGCCTATAATTTCCACCTGTTGTCTATTCCATTTGCACAACAGCATGCGAAATGTATTGTCAATCAGTGTTGCTTCCTAAGTGGACAGTTTGATTTCACAGAAGTGTGATTGACTTGGAGTTACATTGTGTTGTTTAAGTGTTCCCTTTATTTTTTTGAGCAGTGTATAATGTGTTCGCTATCAGTGGAGGGTGAACAAGGAACTGTGTATGGAAAGTTACTGAGAGAGACAAGGGGGAGTTTGGAAAGTTTCTGTCTGTTCAACCATGTCACTGTTAAATTATAATATCTCAAGTAGGGAAGCGAAGGGCAACAGTTAGTCTCTGAGTTATTACTCTTTGTTAATAAGAACCTAACAATATAATTAAAATGTTGTCGTAATGACATATAAGGAAGATATGTCACAATAACTTACTTTTCCCTGTCAGGTACTGGTCAAAGAAATCCTGGAAGCTGCTGGGTGTCTCCAGCTTGCTCCACACTTGACAGAAGTGGTAGTAGGACACCATGTTGTCCTTCGGGTTTCTCATCACGTACACAATCTGAACACCACAAAAGAAGAGGAAGAAGAAGGGGAGTAGAAGAAGAAGATTACTTTATTGTAATTGGTCATAGATACACTGGGAATTCTTATTTTTTCCTTTATCCCAAACCTCCTTTGGTGGGCGGGCTTTACCCTTTTCCCAGTAATTCTATGTCTGGGCTTGGTGGTTTTACCTTGGGTCTCTTGGTGCTCAGGCTGGGGGGCAGCAGGTTTGGGGGCAGGTGGGAGATGAAGAGTCTGGGTGCGGGGCGCGGGCGCTCTGGGTGGGTGTCTGGGTACTCTAGCCAGGGCATCTTCTCCAGATTGGTGGATCTCTGGTCGGTGCCACTACTCTCAGGGTGGGCCGCCTCCACCACCTGGACCAGGATCTGCTGGATCCATATCGTACCTACACACACAGGCGCGCCCACACACATACACACACAGGAAAGTTATTGCACTACTTGTTATATTGTGGGGTTTGTATTGTATTATGTGATAGTTGATGTGGAGGCTGCAGCCCTTAAACATCTAAGACAAATGTCCTTTCATGGAAAATAAAGATGTGTTTATCACACACACATCTTTATTGTCCCAAATGGGCATTTGTAGTGCAGTCAGGGTAAAACAACATTAAAAACAATAACCACCATCACATTTTTGTAAAATGCAATAATTTTTTATTTTATTTAGAAAGTGTGGAGCAGGTTGAGTAGATCAGTGGGAGAAATCCCAGTTTAATCCATTGTTAGATTTTAATTTAATGGAGCAAAATTTGACAACTCTGAAAAGGGTGTGAGGCCTTTCACTAGGCAATCGGTGAATCTCAAACCAACCCCTCGCCCTTACCAACTATGTCACGTGCTGAGACGAAACTCATTGGAAACTTCCAAAGAGCAGTGAGGGGATCAATAAACCCATCAACTTTGGAACACACTTGTGATTTGATTGATGCAATTCTGTTCCACATTTAAATAATACAACAAGCATGGAATTCAAAAATTAACAAATTCCCCAGGTCATTTTATCTTATCATTTTTACCACACACACAAACTCACCTGATTTGGGGTAGGAGATGAGGAAAATGTCTGTTTCTTGAATCTCAAAGCTCTGGAGGGAGTCGATGTACTGGGGGTTGGTCTCCCCGACAGTAAAGTTGTACCCTCTGTGTGTGAACAGGTAGGGACTCAACAGGTCCAGCCCTTCCACTGATGGAGGAGAGGTGGGGTCTGGAGAGTGAAACATAATGACAGTTGGCTAGACAATGGTGAGGAATGACAGGAGCAGAACAGGAAGGTATCTGATATATCCAGGTCACTTGAGGTTGGAGGAGAAGGAGAAAGGAGGAGGGGAAGAAGAGAGGAGGGGTAGAAGGACGTTTACAGGTCTTTCTGTGCCTATTAAATGATTTCGGAAGTGTGCATCTTTCCAATTGGCTCAATAATTCCACCAATCACCATCCACCGACCCTATAATACCAGTAATACCAGAAACATGGCCTGAGAACAATGCTTGCGTTCCAGGCATACTAGCTGTTCACAAGGCCTTGGGGCCAGACGGATTACTAGGACGGGTACTCAGAGCATACGTTGACCAACTGGTAAGTGTTTTCACTGACATTTTCAACCTCTCCCTGACCGAGTCTGTACTACCTACATGTTTCAAGCAGACCACCATAGTCCCTGTGCCCAAGAACGCCAAGGTATAACCTTTCTGCATGACTATCGCCCCGTAGCACTCACATCTGTAGCCATGAAATGTTTTTAAAGGCTGGTCATGGCTCACATCAACACCATCAACACCATCATCCCAGACACCCTGGACCTACTCCAATTTGCATGACGCCCCAACAAATTCACAGATGACACAAAAGGAACACCTACGTGAGAATGCTGGTCATTGACTACAGCTCAGCGTTCAACACCATAGTGCCTTCAAAGCCCTGGGACTGAACACCTCCCTCTGCAATGTTTAGATACTACTTATTAGTGATGAATCTATATCAGTTGCATTTTTCAAACCGATATCGATATCATATCTGTTTGAATGAATGATACTGTGTGGACTTTACTTCCACTGCTTTTTGAAGTCCAGACAACTTCTTACTGAGTCCCTACTGGGGGCCTAACCTACCCAGCCAGTTTGAATACAATGGTAAGCCCGTTGATGGCTCATCAGCAGGCAGTTAATTATGCTAAATTGAGAGGCTTTTGTTCATGCAGGAACAGTCATGTGTTCGATTTTACAGAATAGTGTAGGTTAAGAACAAGGATAAACTGATATCACGATGTGCCTTGCTCATATCGATATCAAACAATATCGATATTGGTGCCCACCGCTACTACTTATACTTTCACACTACAACCATATTTGCATAAATCCCAATGCATTTCAATGGCCATAAATTTAAATGGTAAAAATGTCCACTGTAACTTATCTTCAACCGTTTAAGCTAGAAATGCCATTCAAACTTTAAAATGTGCAGACCACTCTGAAATAGGTTGCTTGTATACAGCTTTTTGATACCATTTATACTTTTTGAACTATAAAAGCTCCATAGGCTTCAACGGGAAGTATTTGGATATGCCACTGCTCTTGATCCCTTAAAGCTACCAACAACAAAACAACTTTTTTTAAAGTGCAGGCTGACTGTCTTTAGGTTGCTTGAAAAAAATATTTTTTAACTACTTATATCTTTCACACTACAAGCGCAGAGTTTTCAAACCTAGAGGTCCAACGGGCTAATACTTCTGGGAACGATTCGCCAAGCAGACTAAAGGCATAACCAGTAGCGTCATGCACCCCAAAAATCTAAGGGGGCACAAAGTACATGAGGATAGGTGGGGGAAGCATTAAGATTTATGCAAATATGGTTGTAGCAAACAGAAGGCCTATAAACTGCTTCTCCAATAGAAATCTCAGATCACACTTGTAGATCATGGCGACCGAATTTTGCATTTTTCAAACACCTGAAAGCTTTTTGCTATACCATTCATACTTATAAACGTTTTATTTATTTTTTTATGGCGGAATGCAGGATTCAACATTCAAACATTCCTCTGGCCGAGGATTAGGGTTGATCCGAGCGTTCTGACCTCACAACAGCTGTCACGACTTCCTCCGAAGCTGCCTCCTCTCCTTGTTCGGGCAGGCTTCGGTGTTCGTCGTCACCAGCCTTCTAGCCACTGCCGCTCCATATCTCATCATTCCATTTGTTTTGTCTTGTCAATTACACACACCTGGTTCATATCCTCTTATTAGTACATGTATAAGTGTTCCCTCTGCCCCCCTTGTCCTTGTGGGTGACTGTTTAACGTGAGGAGAGAGTAGCTCGGTTGAGCTACGTGTATTTTTTATTGCCGGGGTATATATTTCCCTGTGTGCCTGTTTTGTTCCAGTGCGCCTGATTTGCGCACTGGACTGTTTGGCGCTATCCAGCGTAACTCTGTACTATGGAATAAACTCTGTATTCTGTGATTTACCCTCCTGCGCCTGACTCCTTCAAATCACCTATCACAACAGCAGTAAAGCACTCAAGCTAACTGGCTAACGTTGGCTAGCTTGCTAGCTACTTCCAGACACAAATGAGAGAACACCTCACTCTGACCATTTTACTCGCCCTTGCAGAGCTGGTTATGCTGTTTTCATGTTATCCAAAGCGTTGGGGACTGTAACTGTGCTGCTGGCAACAATTTAATTACGCCTTTTTGCCGACGTTTACCGACACCAGCCATAACTAACTTTAACTAACCCATAGCCTATGACAACCCTATTACTTCATAACTACTACTACCATTACTACTGCTGTCACTACCACAACGATAAATACTTCAAGACCACTAGCAAGCACAGACATTTCCATTATGTCCTTTTCTAGTTATCAGTGTGCTTGCTGTGCAGTAATACGAACAAATGTGTAATGTTACAGTAGTGTTCTTACTGAAATATCACAAAGTAAGATGTATCTGAAGTAAACTGGTCATGCGATCTCCATACCTGTTCAAGAATGTGTTCTTGCCTGGAGCTCTTAAACCTGTAATGCAAATAGCAACATTTGCTTTTGTCCATAGGCTACTATCTGCCTGCTCAACCAGTCTTCACTGTATCCACCTAAGCATCATTGGATAATTTTTTTTCTACCTCCAAAAGCTTCAAACACACATTATAGCTTTATATTCCCACCAACAGAGAGCTTAAAAACACATGATATGGCTTAAGATGCTATATTACTCACTCTAACCTACTATACTAGCCAACTATAATCCACTATAATAACTCCGGACCTACAAACCACCCCAAAATAGGTCACTATAACCAACCCATAGCCTATGACAACCATATTATTACCATTACTACAACAACAATTTCTACTGTAGTCACTACCACTACCACTACTTATATTATTTCACAACCATAAACACTTCAAGACTGGTAAGCACACACATGTTCCTTAGGAAAATGTCATTTTCAAGTTTTGTGTTGCAGTTTCACTGAACGTCCATAGGGATACAGTGTGACCCCAGGTTTTAGCAGAGGATATGGATGAAACCACAGAACCATAGGCCAGGATTCATTGACCGACAAACGCATTGCTCTTGTTTATGAGATGTCAGGGGTGCTTTTTAAGGGTAATTTACATAAGCCGACATTCGCAGTGTTTATGCGAAGAGAATGTCTTTAAAAGGTGCATTTCTGGTAGTTCAGTGCGCAGCAGTAGAACACGCTTTTCACAGTTAGAACATGCTTTGATTGAATCACGGCTGGAGGGTGGGGGTAGGAAGGTAGGGGGAGGGTGGGGAGGCTAGGGTGAGGGGGGAGAGAGGGAAGGGAAGGTGGGGGAGGGTGAGGGGAGGGAGGGGAGGGGAGGGAGGATGGGGGGGGAGGGGGCGAGGGGAGGGAGGAGGGAAGGAGGGGGGGGAGGGAGGGGGGGTGCGGAGGCGATTGGAGGAGGGATCGCAGCGGAGGAGGGGGGGCGAGGGGGGGGAGGGTGGCATGGGTGAGGGAGGGGGGTGAGGAGGCGCAGGGGAGGGAGGGAGGGGGAGGGGAGGGGTGTGAGGGCTCAGATTTTTATTGACGTTTTGGCGGAGAGGTTCGGTGAGGTTCGCCGTTCTTCCTTGGAAAATGAGCATTCAGCACACATTTGTATGTTTTTCTGTGGACCCTTCTTGTTGGCATCCCATACTGTGGTCCCAACCTGCTCTCTCTCTCTCTCTCTTCTCTCCTCTCTCTCTCTCTCTCTCTCTCTCTCTCTCTCTCTCTCTCTCTCTACCACAGCTGGACAGGGCAGCAGCACAAACACACACAAACACACACAAACACACGCATGCAGTCACACACACACGCACACAGTTTCACACACATACGTGCACGCAGTCATAGCACACACATATACACACACACACACACACACACACACAGTCAAACACACACACCATGGCACTGCCCCCCTGAACCTGTTACCATGGTGACCACGGAGCCCCAACACTTGTGATGTTCATATGAGGAATTCATATAGGCCTGGACAGAGTGTTGCAAATAGTATTGGGTTACTTACCTCTACCCACCCTTTGGACCATTTGAAGGCGTTTATTTGAATTCATTGTTTCATTTCCTCTCAGTGTCCCTCTCTTCTCTCTTCTCTCTCTATCTCTCTCTCTGTCTCTCTCTCTGTCTCTCTCTCTGTCTCTCTCTCTCTCTCTCTCTCTCTCTCGCTCTCTCTCTCTCTCTCTCTCTCTCTCTCTCTCTATTCAATTCAATCCAATTCTCTCTCTCTCTCAAGGGGGTAATCCATATATTTTCAATTTTCAGCAGTGGCTCACTCCTCCGCATTCTAATCAGGGTCTACTGGCCCTTTAACGAGAGAGGGAGGGAGAGAGAATGAGAAAGTGAGCGGTAGGGGGAGAGAGAGAGACAGAGAGAGAGCGAGAAAGAGAGAAATAAGAAGACAATTTGAATGTCCCATAACTATGACATTTGTGTGACTTAAAGTGGAAGTTTGGGATTTTACAACTTGCTGTTAGATGGTTACTCACTAGGGTTGCAAAGTTACCGGTAATTTACCAAAGTTGCCAGAATCTTGCTAATTAATTTGGCTAATTAACAGGTAATATATGGTAACTTTGGTCATTTATACTCAAATAACTTTTAAAAAATGTATTCATATATAGTATATATATTTTTTATATCTGTGTCCATATTGTCCATAAGTCTAGTGGATAGACCATATGGTTCAAGAGAAAATAGCATAATTAATGAAAAAAGCATTTAATCAACAACGGCATTATTTTCAATTAACTCTTCAACTCTTCCAACTATAGACTTTTTTCTAAACTGCCACCAGTTTGGCAACAAAACATTTACAACAAAGACATAGTAAAATAATTAAAGTGTGTATAAAAAAAAAAAATATATATATATATATATATATATATATATATATATATATATATATTAACGCTAAAACCCTCATATTAAACACAAATGGTAGACACTAAGTTGATGGTTTGTATTTAGGATAACATTTTACAGCTTTGTCATTCTATTTTTTATTTACAATTTATTTTATTGATTATTTTATATACTTTACATGTGATAAAGCCGCACAGAGGCCCAGAGATAATTACAGACACCTGTGATCATCTGAAGCACCCAAAAAGGCTACTAGATGTAATCTGATAAAAGAACATAACAACATTGAAAGTTACCAAAATTCTGGTAGTTTACTCATAAACTTGGACATTTTCCAGTAATATACCCTTCTATTGCAACTCTATTCCTCACCCTAAAAGTAGTCTATGGGCCAGGAGAAACTGTAATCCATGGTTTGGTGTTCTCTAAACAGCCACTACAAACTTCAGCTAATTTTAGCCACCGCTAGCTAAAATTCAAAGGGAGTGATGGACCACTGTGCTTTGACACTTTTCATGACATAGAAGTGACTTATCATGACATTGGCCTGACATTAGTCTGACATAGGACCTGGGGCAGGCTGAATGTGGGCCACTGTGCTTAGAGACTTATCATGACAAAGAAGCAGTGGTGTAAAGTACTTAAGTAAAAATACTTGAAAGTACTACTTAAGTTGTTTTTTTGGGTATCTGTACTTTACTTGACTATTTATATTTTTGACATCTTTTACTTTTACTTCACTACATTCCCAAAGATAATTATGTACTTTCTACTCCATACATTTTCCCCGACACCCAAAAGTACTTGTTACATTTTGAATGCTTAGCAGGACAGGAAAATTGTCTAATTCACACAATTATCGAGAGAACATCCCTGGTCATCCCTACTGCTTCTGATCTGGCGGACTCAATAAACACATGCTTCGTTTCTAAATTATGTCTGAGTGTTGGAGTGTCCCCTGGCTTTCCGAAAGTTAAAAAAAAAATTTTGGGTTTTGTTTTTAATAAAGGCTTTTGAAAGTTTAAATTACTTTTACTTAGACTTTTGAATTTTAAGTATATTTTAGAAATTACATTTACTTTTGATATTTAAGTATTTTAAAAAAACCCAAAATATTTTTAGATTTTTACTGAAATTAATTTTGGGGGGGTGATTTTCATTTTTTACTTGAGCATTTTCTTTTAAAGGTTTTTTACTTTTACTAAAGTATGAAAATTTGGGGCTACTTTTTCCCCATGCAAAAAAGTGCCCTTTTCATGCCCATAGAAGGGGAACTTATCATGACTTGGGCCCTTACATTAGTTTACATGGGGGCGGGCCCGGAATTTGGGGCCCACTTGTTAGGGGGACTTATCATGACAAAAAAAGTGATTACATGAAATTGGGCCGGCCCATATGGTTTGACAAAACCCCTGGGGGCGGGCAAATTGGGGGGCCATTTGTGTCGTGCGGCGCTGGGGGCCACGTTTGGGGAATCCCCACCCCCACCCCCAAACCGAGGAGGAGAAAATTTTTTATAAAGTTTGGCCGGGAAAACCAAATTTGCCCCGGGGAAGGGAAAAAAGAAGAGAGGGAAGGGGGACCCAAAATAGGAAAGGAAGAGAGGAAAGGAAAAAAAAGAAAGTAGAAAAGAAAAGAAAAAAAAAAAAGAAAAAAAAATAAAAGAGAAAAAAGAAAGAAAGAAAAAAAAAAAAAAAAAAAAGAAAGAAAAAAAAAGAAAAAAAAGAAAAAAAGGGAAAAGAAAAAAAAAGAAAAAAAAAAAAGAAAAAAAGAAAAAAAAAAGAAAGAAAAGAAAGAAAGAAAGAAAAAAAAAAAAAAGAAAGAAAAAAAAAAGGGGGGGCCCCAAAAGTTTAAAACCAAGGTTCCCCACCCATCCCTTAAAAATGAAAAGTCCCCCCAAACAAAAGAAGAGGGGAGGGGTTTCTTTTCCCCTATGCTTTTTTACTTTGCCCCCTTTAAACATCAGCCCTTAAAGGTTTGGGTTTCCAAATACCCCCCGTTTTCCCCCACATAGCGCCTTTTTTTGCCAGGGTTTGGAAATATGTAGGGAAAGGGTCCCCGTTTGGGAAAAGGGCAGGCGGGGGAAGGGAATGGGGGCCCGTTTTGGGGAAGCCTTTAAAACCAGAGGGAAAAAGGGAAAGGCGGGGGAGGGGGAAAAATAAGAAAACAGAGAATGTAAACCTCCATATCAGCACGGGGCCCCAGGGAGAGAAATTAAAACAATTAAAAAGCTTCCCTTTTTTTGCTCTTAATTACCCCACTAAACCCCTTTTTTTCCCCTTTTTTTTTTAGTATAAACCCCAATTATAACGTGGTTGTCCCTGGCTGGTTTTTTGGGTTGGGTTTTGAATCCCCCCCCTTTTTCCTTAATCATTCACCACTCAATCCCCAAAGAACTAAACTCCCCCCCTCCTTTTGTTTTTCCCCTTCGGGCCCCTCTCTCTCTCTCTTTCGCTCTCTTTTTCTGTCTTTTTCTCTTTCTCCTCTCTTTCGCTCTCCCCTTTTTGCTCACCTCTCTCTCTCTTTTTTTTTTTCCCCTCTCTTTTCTTTTTCCTCTCTTCTCTTTTCTTTTTCTTTTCCCGCTCTCTTTTCTCCTCTTTTTCCCTCTCCTCCCCCTTTTTCTCCTCTTCCCCCCTTTTTTCTCTTCCCCTCCTCTCTCTTTTCTCTCCAGTTTTCCCACCCACCGCACCCCAAATTTAGCACCGGGGCCCCTTGTCGGTCGCCCGGGGAAAAAAACCGCCGGGGGGGGGGGCCTCAACAAACCCCCTTTAAAATTATTTGGAAACTTTTTTGCCATCAAAAGTTTCAAGCCTTTCCCCTTTTTTTAAAAATTGGCCCCGCCGGCCCCCCTTTTCCCCCAAAATTCCCTTACCTCCCGCAGCCCTTCCAGGGGAAAAAGGGGGGGGGGGAAGGGGGGATAAAGGAGGAAAGGGGAAAGGGGGGAAAAGGGGAGGGGAAGGGGGAGGGGAGGAGAAGGGGGGAGGGGGCGGGGGGGGGCCAAGTTTTTGGGGGCAGGGGGGGGTAAGGGGAAAACCTTTTTTGGGACTGGAAAAAACGGAGTTAACCTGCCGGGGGGAAAAACCCCCAATTTTTTTAAGAAAAATGCACCCTGGGGGGTTCCCCTTAGAAAAGGAGAAAGGAAAAAAGGGGAGAAGGGAAGGGAGAGAGGGAGGGAGGAAAGAGAAGGGAAATTTGATGAAATTAGAGATACCGGGGGGATTTTGGAGAGAGGGGGAGGGGAGAGGGGGGAGAGGGGGAGAGAGAGAAGAGAGAAGAGGAAGGAGAGAGGGGAAAGGAAGAGAGGGGAGTAGAGTTGGTGTGAAGCCAGCAGTGGGTTTGCTAATTTATCTGTAAAGCTGCTGTAATCTGTCTAATACTCTGTGTGATCTGACTGTTATCAGTGTGTTGGACAGACAGGGACAAACAGAGAGGACCATGCCCAGCTGCCTGTCTCGGGGGCAGTGCCAAAACACACACACACACACAGACAGCATTGACTGACTCTCTGCAGGTCAATGACATTGTCTCCCAGCACAGTCTGTTGTGTCATAATGTATCTCCAAATACACAACTATCTATCATCTCTCTTTAATCTCTCCCTCTCTCTCATGCTCTCTCTCTCCCTCTCTCTCTCTTTCTCCGTCTTTCTCTCTGTCTCTCTGTGTCTCTCTCTCTGTCAATTCAATTTTCAATTGAATTCAATTCAATTTAAGGGGCTTTATTGGCATGGGAAACATATAAAAAAAAAAAAAAAAAAAAAGGTCATTTAGCAGACGCTCTTATCCAGAGCGACTTACAGGAGCAATTAGGGTTAAGTGCCTTGCTCAAGGGCACATCGACAGATTTTTCACCTAGTCGGCTCGGGGATTAGAACCAGCGACCTTTCGGTTACTGGCACAACGCTCTTAACCACTAAGCTACCTGCCGCCAAAGCAAGTGAAATAGATAATAAACAAAGGTGAAATAAACAATAAAAATGAACAGTAAACATTACACTCACAAAAGTTCCAAAGGAATAGAGACATTTCAAATGTCATATTATGTCAATATACAGTGTTGAAATGATGTGCAAATACTTAAAGTACAAATGGGAAAATAAATAAACATAAATATGGGTTGTATTTACAATGGTGTCTGTTCTTCACTGGGGGTTGCCCTTTTCTCAACAATACCCATTAATCAACAAGTCATG